GATCACCCAAATGGACATGATACAACGATCATTTTTGGGACGGGGATACTGTACAAGCGTCCGCTACATTTTTCTTTCGAAAACTTTCCGACGGGAATAACGTATTTACGGGAATACAAGCATCCCCTAATTTTTTCTCGCAAACAATTTTCATTCCAATAATATGCGAATAAAAGCACCTGCTTACTTTCCTGGAACCTGAGATTTCCGACTAAATTCAGGTTTTCCCAGGAAAGGAAAAACGGTTCCACACAACCCTTGATCTTTTCCTTCAATCAATGACTTCTGCATCTTGAAGCGCTAAAAGCAGACCATTTCCCAATGTATATCTTTTTAGCTTCAATTCCAAAATAACTGGAGAAAAGAAATGCTCAATCGTTTTGTAAGCACTAACAGGAAGATTTCCTGATATATACGCATGTTAACGCGAATTGCATAAATACGCCAATATAAAAATCCTTTCTTTCCAATTTCAGAGGCTCAAAAAAAGGGCGTGCTTATATCCGCATAAATTTGTTATTCGGAATGTTCATCAAAGGATACGTCCGAAGAGAACTATTTAAACTTCAAATTCATTTTCCCCTAAACCTCATACTTTTCAAGGTTTTAAACCCAAAAGAATTTGAAAGTTGAAAAATCAAGGGAATCTGCCTAAAAAGCGAAGCTGTCAAAATGTCAAGGATAGAACGTTGTCCTTGAGTTTTCAATAACTTGATCACAGCACAGTTAGCGCTTTACCCTTGGTTCGTTTAAAAAAAAGCAGCTCATAAGCTGGGGATTATGCCACAAAGGGATTTACAGTGCTTCCGAATTCACGCTAATTACATGACTGGTTAAATTAACATTTGTCATCATTGATTCCTTGCCAACAGCTCGAAGTCATTCAAACACGTTTGTAATTTTCTCGTCAAATTCAGACCATTCTGCAGGTTTTCGAAATCACTCTTGAGAAATGGAAAATTCTAAATAAATAAAAAACCTTTAGTTTAGATTGTATGGAATTCCAATTTTTAGCCTTTTCAACCTTAACACGTGGGATACGTTCAAATTCGCGAAGGAAAAATAAAAGACGGCACAGCCACTTACTTTTCGTAGTAAGGTTTCTCTCGGCTCAGCGACGATCCGAAGAATCGCTCCAAGCTCTGATTATCGACGGAAACAAAAAAACAATAAATGTAAACGAGTTCAAAAAAATAAATAAAATAATCGACGAAGTGGTTAATATAAGCCTCAAAAAGCAAGCGACCCTGGAACAAACTTGAAAACAGAAACCATCACCACACGCTCACAAAAGAAAAATCTCGAAAGAGAGAAAGAACGTATTGAAAGATTCAAGCGCTGCTAAACCCACAAAAACGTGAACATTCAGGATTTTACGGTTACTGTACAACGAAATTTGTACCTAACAAATATATGAAAGAAGAAAAAAATTCTTGGAATGATCAAACTTTTTCAACGCATGTCACGGGAGAAGGAAAAAATTCTGAAATATTCGGAGAGATTTGTACCAAGAAAAGGGAGGAAATTGATGGCATTTTAACGCACAACAGACGGCAAACTTTATGTTGTCCGATAAATGAGCAAGGAATTTATCACACTGAGATTTGCCTATCGAATAAAATTCCCCAAAACCATTCACGTTGTCTTGTGGCTAGTGGCGCGTGAATTATCCAGCAAAATTAATACAGTACCTTCTTTCATGTTCCCGCACTAAAGTCAAGTTTGCAAACACATCGATCGGAAATTACGGCAATTAAAATTTCAACATTTTGAGTGCGGTAAACACAAAAAAAGTTCATGGTGCTAAAAAAAAAAAAGGAACGCCAAATAATCCTGACGCTAACTCCCAAATTTTTTTTTCTCGGTTCTCGAATGTTCTTCCTCGTTACTCTTCTCGTAAAGTAGATCCGTACATCGATGCAGCTCTTTCAGGGTTCGTACCCCCCCACACTTCAAAGACTATTTCTTATTTTTCTCTTTCTCTCTTTCACGATATACCATGATATACTCGCATGAGGGTCCACGTGTTGCGCCCGGCATATCCCTTATACACTTTTTCCGGGGTTTGACACATACCAATTACCGATAAGAATACACCATTTTACACTCTCCGGAAAGGCAGGCGTAAGACACTCCACAGGGAAGAATGCACAAGCAGCCAGATGCTATCCCGCATTAGTTTACAAAGCCGCGTGTGATCAGTTCAGGACAGAGGCAGCGGTCGTTGTTCGAAGTACGGCAAATTTTTCTTTTGTCAAACAGGGATCACACCATCACGAAAGATCAGAATGAAAATTACCTGGATGTCATAGTTAAAATTTTCACGGCTGGCAAATATATCCATTTAAAATTGTCAATCAAATACGCGTGTTTACCTTGTCACATTCGTTCATAAAATGAGACGAATAATATCCATCTTGATATTTACGCTTTCCAAAAATATGTCCCAGTCAAGATTAATCAAATACCCAATTTAGGCGTCAACAATTGAATTTAAAGCCAGACCCTCACTTGGAAAGTAAACGTAAATTGAATGAATACAAGAAATCACCGGTTCAAGTAAGGATACTCGGTTTCGGTAATTTTCATACCGAAGACTTGTACGTACTGTACATTTTTATTAGCGGAAAATGCCTCGAAAATGTTGAAAATACGCTTATATTTACTAGGAAATCCAGATATCACTTTCACGGAAAGGTGAGTTGCATTTGCACATTAAAGATCCAGGCAAGTTTTGATAGCAGGAATCTTCACCTCGTTTTACAGGATATAAGATAATTTTTAACGTTGGACTGCTCAAAGAAGTTCGTAAGACTTGATTTTCGGGAAGTCAACAATTTTCAGAAAAAAAAAAAGAATAACCGTTTTATCAAGCGTAAAAAAATTTTAACCAGCACATCCAGAGAAAGATTCGAATCACGAAGCCATCCGCATTCCAGGGAACATCCATACAACCCCACGCGAAAATTATGTACAGTACAACGAATTCGGAGCATACTGTTCAATCGCCAAATCAGCGAAAATGACAGCAGAGAAGCTCTAAACTTAAAGCGTCGTTCATTACACAAATTACCACATTGAAAAATGCATTGCTGGAGGTGGGATAATTCCACAAGCCTCAGCAACGATCAATGTCTCAAATTGGTTCGAACGAGTCTTCTTCGTTACCCCACAAATACTGGCCTTTTACCCCTTTACTTGAGTCTAATCTCAAGATCCATCGAGATCATCAAAAAGCTCTCAAGAATTTCCTGTATCATGTTAAACAACACACTCAGATAGGACCAAAAAGAGAAAGAAAAAAAAAACCGAGGAAAGAAGAGGTGCATGGTGATTAAGAGTATTTGAAAATACTGTTTTGTTAAGGCGTGGAATGGTTTTAAATTATTTTCTGCGGACTTTCGGATGATAGCAGGGGAACATCTAAAGGGAGTCCAAATTTTTAACGTCGCATCTTTTTGCAACTAAAAAAATTGCACACATTCCGCCTTGCCGAGCAGTTCACATCAACTGCTTCGGCTACAATCCACATCATCATACCGAGATCATCGTGGAGAACTTTTTGACTAGATTTCCACTCGAAGTCGGATTGCTCACGACCCTTACCCCCACCCTCCGTCGATCATGAAAAATATATATTCCTCTGCACGCATTCAATGACTCACACGCTCACAGATATTTTGAGGATGAAATCAGAAACTGATGACGGGTTGCAGCGTTACGAGCCTAGCAGGACTACAAGCCGAAAACTCTCCCGCGTTCCATGTCAACTCAACGAACGCGAAATATGAAACCATGAGTTTTGTACTTCCAATCCCCAGAGCCCTGCACGTAGAACCTCGGTCGGTTTTATTCGTCAATTCTATCCTAGGAGACAGGTAGAATATGTCAGTTGCAGTCGGGTGATTCGGTTCTTTCCTTGCTTTGGTTTCGAATAGTTCCTGCAACGCTGGTCGCCTTTGATCATATTCACTCAGGTATTCTCGGAAGTATTTCCAACAGAAATGGGGCACTAGTCAAATTTACTCGTTTTCTCTTGAGGATAGGTAAGAGAAATGAGGATAGTTTTGCCTTTGACGCAATATGTGGTAAAACAAGACTATTAACAAATCATAACATGCTTCTCGCAATGGAACGCATTGTCTTATTAATCTCAAGAAAGAGGAAAAGCAACAAATGCTGTAAAACTAAGGCAGTATACGCAGAAAGGCAACAAGTGAAACCTGATCTTACTTCCTATCGCCTGAAAAATAATCTTAGAAATAGAACGAATAAAATTTCAAGCTTTCCAACTCAGAGGCAAACGTTAGCAAGGAAAGCTTTCCCACATTTTCTCGAGCAAATCGAGTACCAATTCCCATGACGTTTCGTCACTTCGAGGACATCGACAGCCAACATTCACACTGAGATCATTGTTCCTCCATGACGGGAGTTGCAGCTGAATTCCTGGCTCACTTCGAACACAGGTGGATGACAGTTCCTAAATCCCAAAACCACCCTCATCGAAACGTTCACGAACGCTGATGAGAAAAAAAAAGGTGGTCTATACGGACGCATCAACGGTGGAATAGATCACACCGAATGTGAAATCCTTGTTCACATAGACATCAATCTTTCACAAAAAAATGTTGGAATGCGGATGATTCCCCGGAATGCTGACGACTTTCACGACCGAAAGAAGCTGAAAAAGATGGCAAGAAGGGGACACGACCACCAGGACGGAAAAAGAACAAAATGAAAGAACAGAAAAAAAAGTATTCACCGAGTTATCCCGAAACGTTACCACCAATCCATAGTTTCATGCAAACACGCAATGATAGTTACCGAACACTACTCTGGGTGGATATAGACTAAAAACATGCTTCGGGTTGTAGTCTGTCAACACATTTCACACGATAAACAAACATGCTACGCGACGAGAAAGCATTTCCGGATGCAGCCACTCAGGAAGTTTAACACCAATTAAAGTTAGCCACATAGAATGGTCGACAAATTTCTCGATGTTCGACGATATCTTCAACGAGGCGACTTCCAAGAGACTCGTTACATGAATTGATCTTACCAGAATAAAGACGCCCAAGAAAGCAGCAAAATGAGAAATCGATGATCAGATCAGTCTTCCCAATCTACATAACTACAAGAATCAAAAGAAGAATACTCACAAAATATGATGACCAGAAAAATCAGACCCACGGCTCCCATTGCGATCATCATCTGTTGATATAAAATGTATCGTACCACCAACTCTTGAGCGTACACAAGGTTCAAAATACCTTCATATTCTGAAGCCAAAATTTGTTCTTCAATTTCCCGGCGGACTGCTCGAACTGAGAAGCACCTTGCTGCAGAGCATCTGAATAATAACAGAACTTGTGAAATTCGCAATACGGCATGAACTGAGCTAACATTTCAATCGCACCTGCACGGTCATCAAGTTCTGAAAGCTTCTGATCTCTTTCCAGGACCTTCTCAACATTCATGCGCATGATTCCCACCACCTAACGCAAGGAAATATTTGAAGAAAAATTCGCAAAATAAGGGTTGAAAGGAAAATCACCTCTTCTACTTGGGCATGTGTCTGTTGCAGGCGCTTCTGTGCGGCAACATTCTGAGGATTACGAGCGGGGCCATCGTTGGCGCCACCGTCACCAGCCGGATTGGCTTGGTCAGACCTATGATGAACACGAGTGAATGAAGAACTTACCTATTCTTACAAGATTCAAAGATTCATGAATACTCACATGCCGAAATTATGTTCTCCACTTCAGGTTTAAACGACACGATGTCCAAGCACCTTCGGAAACGTTAATACCGACGAAATAACGAAGTTCTCAACGAAACTCAAGTCCCATGAAACAACGGAAAAATAACAAAAAGGGAAGTCTACCGATACGAAGAATCAGTGCATCAACAGGGAATCAGTCAATACATTCAATAAATTAATAATGCCAAGCGCACCGAAAAAATCGTGAGGTTCTCGATGAACCTGGAAAATAATAAACAAAGCTCAGTAAAAACTAACGCACATTAAAAACGTGACCAATCAAATGACACAGACAAGTAACCTAATATCAAAGGATCCATGGGTGCAAGTTCCGATGTTCCAGCAAAGTCATGGTATGCGCGACTACCGCACGTATCGCGGGAACCCATTATCACCTTCTAACCGTAAAAATAAACTGACATCCTCAAAATTCGCCCTTCGCACTCTCCTCTCGCCGGTCAGATCAACGAAACAGACCGTGTATAATTCCCTGAATTCACTCTCAGTGCTTTCTGACACGGAATTGTGACCTTTGGCTGCAGTTCGCCAGATCTCTCTCTCCTCAGGATGTCATGGCCGCATTTCGTCAAAGAGCTGCAATCGATCTGTGTCCAACCGTATACTGTACAGTATAGTACTATACATCTACTGTACCCACGAGAAGCGTACTGAGGTTAGGAAAGAATTATTGAGATGATGTAGTAACGGCCAGCGGCCATTAGTCCCGCGCGACTTGTACAAACGCGTATTCGAATCAAGCTTCGTTCAGATCTCGTACCCAATCAGGGTACGCCGGCGCAACGGCCCGCGCGCCAGCGACCGGCCATCTTGTGTTACGAGGGGCACGCCAAGCCCCATTCTACCTCGAACCTCCGAAGAGTGCGGACCTCTGTTCTATGTGTGCGACAGTATACTATTGTGAATAGACTTCAGTATCCCGATATTGGTGTCAACTTATTCCTAGTCTAACTGATCCTAGTGCGACTGTGAAGAAAGCTTACTGGGGGCTCAGCCGACCGACAACGACCCGCCATGAACAGTGACCGTACGGAAAGTGAACCCCAACCGGGGCCTTCTAACGCGAACGCATCACCGCAACCGGTAGCATCCTCGCAGCCACGGGCGACAGCCAATCCCTGGAATTTTCTTATGCTCAACGCCATACGTACGTACGCGACAGTGAACGGTATTCCTAATGCTAACGAAGTGCCACGCGATGAACTCATCAGCGCACTCCAGGCTAGAGGCGCAACGCCCCTCAACATCATCCTCGGGTCCCCGCCAGACTACCAAACGGGACCGGGGTCCACAGAACTGCTAGCACGCTCGTTGCTGCGCAGACGCGTGGATTACCCGCACCAGTCGCCCAACGAAAGTATCGAAATGTACCTCAGACGACTCGAAACCGCCTTCAAACACGACGGAATGCCCAACTTCACCAAGGTCGACTGCATAATCGGGCATTCCCAGCCCAAGGTAGCGGAAGCAGCACAACTGCTGTACGACCAAGGATACGAGGATTACGACGTCATCGCGGAGAAACTCAAAGCCAGGTTTGGTCTATCACCATTTGAACACTTTACCAGGTTTCAGCAGTTTCGACCGGCATCCGACGAGCTCTTCTCACAGTTCGGTCCACGCCTACGTGACGAATACCTTCGATATCTCGCCTTGCCACCCACCGAGGTCGGGCTACATGAGACCGCAATCACGCGGGCCCTCATCGGACAGCTCCTGTCCATCACTACCGGTGGGCTCCACGCCCAACTACACGCACGGGCGACAGCCGACCGTTCCCTCACGTGGGACGAATGCTTGGCGATAGCCGACGAATACAGACGGACACACCCGGCACCACCGAAGCCGGCCGCATCACCGGCACCGCAATCACCCGCCAACCGCCCACCCAAGACGACGGCATCCGGGGTAACCAAATACTACTGCGATAATCATCAGCGGTATGTGTTCCACAGCACGGCCGAGTGCACGATGTCACGCACGAGCTCACGGGCATCCACGCCGTCCACAACGGCTAACGGACATCCCCTGCAAAGCTGTTCATTCCACCCGGGGCGCATGGTAGCACATTCAACCGAGGAATGCCGAAACAATCCGGCGAACCAGGTGAATACACCATCCCCCGCACAATCAATTCAACCGACTAAATGCGTCCAATGCGGCAATACAGGACATACCGCAGCAACGTGTCCGGGAAACGGGAAGATCGGGCAGTGACGGCTGTCCTCTGCTCGATCCCCACGCCCACAGACGACAGCCTGACCATCATCATCACTATCAAAAACAAACGGGTGACCNGGGTGACCGCCCTGATCGACACCGGAGCGACAAAATCGTTCATGGCGACGGACGTCGCCGAGGAAGTCGGCCTGTCTCCGCATCCGACCCAAGCGAGGATATCCGCAGCGGTTCTTCACGTATCGACGACCGTCAGTCACGCAGTGAGTACCGTTTTTACTCTTGGATCGGCCGCGTACGAAGCCACCTTCTTACTACTCTCCAACGCGCACTACCCTGTTATACTCGGGCTCGACACGTTGAAGAATCTCCCTTTCTGCGTCACCCTCGACGGCCAGCGAGTTTTTTCCGGATTCCAACAGATTAAACCCATCAATGAAGCCCCAACAGCGCCGATAGGCCAGGGCATTACGTTCATCCATGGAACGCCTGCCGAGCAACAGCAGGTCGCAGCACTCCTGCGGCGCTACGCACCCAACATTTTTCAGTGGAGCGGTAAACACGGGCTCTTCCCGCAGCACGTGGCATCGCTACCCACCAACGGGGAGGACCCCGAACCCAGTCGTCGCATACGGCTCTCGCCAGACAAGCGACCATCGTTCCAACACATCATCGACAATTACACCCGCGCGGGTATCATAGAACCGGCCCAGTCCACCGTCAATTCTCCGGCCTTCCTGACACCGAAAGATGACGACCCCAACGCCCCCGCAATCAAACGGTGGCGCCTGGTAGAGGACTATCAGGAAATCAACAAGGTTCTACTAGCGGACAACTACCCGATGCCCGTCATTCAGGACATATTAGACGCACTAGGGCGCCAAAACGCCTACTTTTGCTGTCTCGACCTGCATTCGGGATATCACCACATCCCCATCGCGCACGGCGACCGCCATAAGACCGCGTTCTCCACCTACACGGGACAAATGCAGTACACGGTTCTCCCATACGGCCTCAAAACGGGACCCGCCATTTTTCAAAGAACCATGGAAACCATCCTGCGCCCGCACTTATACACGAAATGTCTAGTGTATATTGATGACATCATTGTCTTCGGCAATACCTTCGCAACGGTACTGGAAAATCTACAACAAGTCCTCGACACGCTTGCGTCCGCAGGAGCGTCCATCGATATCCACAAATCCAAATTTCTGGCAGAGTCCATCAACTTCCTCGGGCACATCGTGGACAAAACGGGCACACGCCCAGCAGAAGAGCATCTCAAAGCCGTCCAGGCCTTCCCGCAACCAGCCACCACACGCCAGATGCAGCGATTCCTGGGCCTCGCTACCTACCTACGGGCCCATGTACCGACCAACTTCGCGCAATTGGAAAAAGTCCTACGACTTACAATTCCAGTCAAACCGGCGACAGCCATCATCTGGTCACCAGAAGCGACCGAAGCGTTCGAAGCGCTAAAACAAGCGATAGCAAACGCCGCTCGGCTGGAACGGTTCGACCCAGCATGGGATACCGAAATACATTGCGATGCGTCCGCATCTGCAATAGGGGCCATCCTGGTCCAAATCGATCCAGACGGACAACCCCACATCATGGAATACGCGAGTCGGGTTCTAACCCCCGCGGAAACACGCTACTCCAACACGCAGCGAGAGCTGCTCGCAGCAGTATGGGCGACGACCAAAAAATTCCGCCACTATGTCGAACATCGGCATTTCAAGATCATCACAGACCACAAGGCCCTACTAGGGGAACTGTCCGACACACGACTTATCAGCCTCAAGATCAAATTGGAATCCTTCAATTACACGCTGATACATCGACCGGGCAAAACGCTCACAGGGCCAGACGCCCTCAGTCGCATCAGATTAAATACCATCCAACTTAAGGAAATACCGGACGCATCCGAACGCCAGGACATAATAGATGAATACCACATTGAAATGGGACACCCTAGCTGGAAACGGACCTTCCATCAACTACGCCAGCGATACACCTGGCCTGAAATGCGGACGCAAATATTCAAAAGGGTCTCCGAATGCACAAAATGCTTCACCTTCAATCCGGCGACAGCCACAGTGGGAACGCACCTGGAAGCCGTCCCGACCACCGACAAACACGATCGTCTCGGGGTAGATTTCTGGGGACCATTTCCTCCGTCACAAACGGGCAACCGATACGCCCTCGTGGCCGTCGACTACTACACCAAACGCGCCATCGCGCAACCAGTGAAACGGGCGACAGCCAACGCACTGTGCAGCTTCATCGCAGACGTGTTTGCGCAGCTGGGGTCGTTCGAGATCATCCATTCGGACGGCGCAGCGGTCTTCTCATCCGCCGCATTCAAACGATTCACCAAGGCGAACCAAATGGAAGTGCACATCGCACAACCATATCACCCGGAGGGCAACGGCGCCTGCGAACGTACAATCAAGTCCCTAACCGCCATCCTCGCCAAAACCGCGCCAAACGCAACATCATGGGACCAAGTCCTGTATGAAGCCACCATGGCATACAACCGGACGCCCCACTCCACCACCGGATTGTCACCACTAGAGCTGTGGCACAAAAAACCAATGCCGACGCCAGCAGACATCAAATTCAAAGCCCCGCCCAGGGACATTTCCGAACAACTCCAAGCGGTACAACAAACCGCTCAAAACCGCCGCAATCAATACATCCAGCAAGCAAACAAACGAAAATTGCCGCCGTTCCACGCGGGGCAAATGGTAACGCTGCGTCCGCGGCTCAAAACCACCGAACGCCATGCGGCGCATCGCCGGTTTCTGCCCAAACGCTACGGGCCCTTCAAAGTCCTTCGCTATCAAGGCAAAGGGACGTACGTCATCGCGACCAAAAACGGGCCACAACTCGCAAACGCCTGGGAGCTCCAAAAATACTCGTTTCCGACCGCCCCCCCCGAGACATGCCCTGAAAGAATACGACCGGCACCTAACACAAAATTCTCTCCTCCACAGAACGACGAAGATCGCCCTCGCTTTCGCCTAGGGTACGAGACCGACGACGACTCCGATCACCCGCACGACCCGCACGGGCCAGCCGAACCAGACGAACACCAGAGCGACGCCGAGAACGCGACTCACCAGAGCGACAGCAACCACGTCGCCCACGGCGCACAAGTTCCCCAAGAGAACTGTTCATCACCTGCACATGGGACCAACCACGCCGCCCGCAATCGGACAGACCAACGTCTACCAAGTCCCAATCAAATGCGACCGTCACCCGTGTCCAGCGAAGAACTTCTCCTACCCGAGAGCGTCGCCGAACCCCCGTCGCCACAACCGCAACCGGACATCACAGCGGCAAGAAGCGCCGCTGGTTCCAGCTCTCCCCATCGCCAACCACGTCATCCTCATCAGCCGATGAAACGGAAAAGGACATCAAGCCGCCAAGCGTCACGCTCGCGCAACCACTCAGTGGACAGGGGCCCCTCACCGACGAGGACTGAGGAAGACATGTCAACATTTGGCCTCGCGAACGCGCATCATCGGCATCGCCCCAAACGACGGCGCCGGCGCCCAACGCGCTACCACAATCAGTGGCCTCCGCCCCCAGATTTCTTTCGCCGCCGCCGGCACCTTTCTTTTTCAGGGGGGGGAGAGTAACGGCAAGTCAGTGACATACGCTGGTGAGCCGAAGTGCGAGTAAATCTAATAAAAATCAGTTTAGCTGCTAAGGTGAAGTTAAAAAAAATAAATCTTCAAAAATGGTGGCACAGTACCATCCAATTTAATGAAATAGTAACGGCCAGCGGCCATTAGTCCCGCGCGACTTGTACAAACGCGTACTCGAATCGAGCTTCGTTCAGATCTCCTACCCAATCAGGGCACGCCGGCGCAACGGCCCGCGCGCCAACGACCGGCCATCTTGTGTGACGAGGGGTACGCCAAGCCCCATTCTACCTCGAACCTCCGAACTGTGCGGACCTCTCTGTTTATTGTGTGCGACAGTGTGCTTTGTGAATAGACCCAGTATTCTTATATTGTGTCGATTCATTGCCAGTCAACTTACCTCAGTGTGACTGTGAAGAAATCTTACTAAATCACATGAATGTACGCCTCGCTAAATGGATTTTGGCATCCAACATATTCGTCACGCATAATATAATATTGTACCTGAGCAGTAGCGGTGTCCATTCTGAAAATTTTGCTGTGGGATATGTGGACGGCATAATAATTATTCGAATGGATCTTAACTTTCCCTTCTGTTTTCGAGGGATTTTCCCGTCATCCCATGATACTGTAAAACGTATCTATACCTGTTCACTAATTCATTCCAGCACCGTAACAAAAGAGGGTGTCCGGTAATCCAAGGCTACTGAAAAACTGGGGCCACACTGTAAAAATCTCGGAAGTTTAAGTTCAGTTCCCTCCCTTGAACAAAAAAAAACATTTCTTGGTTAAAATTGTCCTCTCTAAGCCTGAAGCGGTTTATCTTCCTTTCACTTCTCATGCATGCTTGGAAGGCGGAAGCACTTGGGGTTCCTCGAGGCATTTGAACCCTCCGACCCATCAGTTACCGGAACCCATCAGCAGGAGCATAAAAGATACCACGCGAGCTCGAGCATTGAATCGTGCTAATTTAATATTACCTCAGGCAGCATAAAAATGACAGCAGAACTCTTATACTTTGGACATATTCCCAGTGATTACCTCATCTCATCAGAACATGAATAAAAAATAAGCATCGTTTAAAATCCCACTCGCCTGATTTCCGAAATTAACTAAATAATAATTTTTACTTGATCAAAATGTGCATTCAATTTTTTTGTGTCCCACTTTGAGGAAAAATGCAAATTGCGCACAATTATTTATGACTGTTCTGACAGTTCAGGATTTGAAGGCATGCCAATTATTTTACGCAATAACATTTTTTAAATCATTGAATTAAAATTATTTCCTTGAATATCTACGAAAACACTTGCCTCAGGGCAAGATCTCTCAGTCATCATCCGAACATGATAGAATTCCAATGTCAACGTGGTCAACATTAAATATCCCTTTTAATACTGTATCTATAGTTTTACTTCTTCAGAGAAAATCGTGATGTAAGAGAAAAACGAACTAGGAAGTTCTCAAGTACAGAAAATGCCTGAACATAATTTCAACCCAGGAGCAAAATGCTCTTGACACAACTGAACTATTATGAAGCACCTCTTTTTCGCAGCAGAGATTACCTGTTTAAATACTGTACTGCGAGATCGCGGCGATGATCAATTATTACATGCAAGAATACCTTATGATGTATTCAAACAACCAGAGCGGCGCACGTCAGGAAATGTTCATTCACCAACAACAACCGCCCTCGCAGGCATATCTGGTCCCACAATCAAGAGGAAACGAAGCCGGACCAAGACAAAACACATAAATTAGACCTCAACTTCACCTAAGCAACTTCGAAGCATTTGCAAATTAAACAAATTAAGGCCCCCGGCAAATG